AGACTGATTTTTCAAATACCTCATTTTAAAAATTGAGGAAATGCCCCTTTATTAGTTGTAAAATTTTCCATTTAATTCACATTTGCGCCTCTTTATTCATTATTCTATGCATATAAAGGCACATCGAACCTCTCTCTCTTGTGTTATTAGCCTCCATTGATGACATCCGATTGCAGCCGAACCTCCTACTCCACCAAGGCACTGAATTCCACTCTACTGACCGGAGCATGCGTACTGGTGCCAAAGTGCGCTCCCAGTCAGTATCAGCTGCACCCCTTCCCCCACCATTGCCCATGCAGACGGCCCTTAACTTTCGTCATGAGGCCTCGTTGTCTCCAAGTCGGGTTAGGTCTGCTGCTTCTGGTGCTTCGGAACATCAGACTTCATTTGGCCTTAGGCTGGGCGCAGTCGCCTCACGACGCCTTAGCAAGTTCACATCGACTCACACTCCTGCCTCAAGTGGTACCGATTCCTCTCCTACTGCCAGCGTCGCCGGGGATAGCTGTGGTGCTGGCGGTGGTGGCTTTTTTAGTCTGACCGCGGCTGCTTTGGCTGCTGGGGTGGGCAATCAAGTTCGTGCCATCCTAACTGCTGCAACTTCTGGCTCCGGTAGTACAGCGTCTGATGCCACAGATATATCCTCTTATTACCAGCCAGTGATGCTCCAGTCTGACCACATAGTTGGCCAGGTTGAACAGTTGCATTGCCACTATTCCCATGACACTCAACGAAGTAATCAGCAACCTCAAGTGCAGAATCAGCAGCAACAACCTAGGGGGCATCAAAGGTATCAACAGGCGCCTGGTTCTCGTCTTCTTTGTCCTAATTCTCAATCATTCACCCATTCTTCTGCCGGTCATCAAGTCAACTCCAGCGCCGCTGCAACTTCTCCTGTTTCCTCTTCTTCCCCCGCTTCGATGATTTCGACGGGTAGCAATCCGTACTTAGTGGATCTCACCCGTTTATTCGGGCCTCAGGTAGTGCAGCAGTCCCTAGTTCGCGACATCCGGGCTGTGCAGGCACTACAAAGCATTGTGAAAACAGATGTAGGTTGCGCCAGAGCCTTTGTACGTCTGGCCCTAGAGAAGAAGCTTTTGTCAGGCCATTTGAGGACTCTTCTATCAGACGAAAAGCTACTAGAGTAATTTCGGCTATTATATTCCTACACTCTTTTCTTGTTTCATTCATAAGCTACCACGTGACTCAGCTTGGGGATTCTCTTTTGCGGGTACTTTTTATTTTATCTACCTTGGCTATGGGCTCTTACAGAATCTAAATTGTCCCCGTTTTGACCTGGAGAGCTGGCTGAGGGCCAAAAATGACTAAGTGTAAGACAAAAGACAAAAGACTTAGTCCTGTGGACTACTAGTTCGTCTTGAATGGAAAGAACCAGCGCTACAGGATGTCGCAAGTATCTACGCGTGGGTCTCAATTAGCAAAGGCACTTGCCTAAGCTTTGTATAAAGAACACATCCCTGAAAGTAATTATTACTGTTACTGATGCTGTCGCATTCATAAGCTGATCTCTGTGCGTAAGCCTTTTGAGATATGCTTAAAAATAAGGGATTTATTTGAGGCCTGGTGCTTCTAAAAGGCTCAAACTAAGTAACTAGGACTGATAAAATAGTGAATGTTCCATTTCCATATGCTGAGCTTGGGAAAGAGTGAGCTCAGATTTCAGTCCATGAAAGTTGTACACAGCACTTAAATTCGCATATGTATATGTTTGTGTGCGTATTGATGCATATGATGGAAAATGGCGTGTTTATCGCTTAAGATATTAAGGATAAATCATTCTAGACTAGGGGTGTAAATGCTCATAGTATCAGTCGACTTTGTTTACGTTGAAAAATTTAGGTAAATAACTGCATCGGGTTGAGTATTTCTGTTCACCTGTACTAAGCTTTTTTCAATTTCCAACTTTCTGGATATATTGTCTCAGTCTTTTGGAGTGTGTATTTTTCTATAATATTATTATTATGTATATTACCAATACATAAGAGATAATATATCATAAATATAATATAATTAATAGTAAGCACTTAATAGTTGTACAATGATTGCAGTAGCAGGGATTTAATTTTTTCCAGTAAGCACCAGTTTAGTGTGATTTTCTAAATACTGATTGCGATAATGATTTTTCGATTTTGTTGACAAACGCCAGTTCAACACCAGCTTGAAGAAACTGCTGTGGTCCAAAAAAATTTTGGATTAAAAATAATTATGGCTAAAATTGACAGCGCATGCTTTATTCGCCGTAGATTGATTGAGCCTTTTGGGATATCTAGACCTAAAGTAAAACATATTATTCACTTTGGTACTCGGGCAAAATAATATCTTGAAGGATATATGCATTAAGTGACCATTACAATTGCCTCACAAGTCTTTTATAACCTCTTTATCGGAGCTTTGCCTCATATGATCTTACCCCTACAAGCAAGGGAGGCATTTAATGCGAGTTCAATCCATTTTGCAGCTAAGACCTAAAATTATCTCCTGAAAAGGGTCTAATAAAGTCCTTTGGACGGTTTCATTCCAACTACCCATGTAGCATGCTGAGACTGAAGTGGATCAGCTTGGTCAGAGATCACCACATGTATATATTAGTACATGATAGGTATTCACCCTATTTCGTTTAAGGTGATGAAGGACTGGTAGTAGGATTTTCCCACGATGATATGAATAGAGCTGACGCTTCCATTGAATTTCACATTGCCTTGCTTTCCCAAAAGTTGTTCTCATCCAGGATGGACTGCTGTTTCGACCTCGCATCGGTCTTATCAGCACCCCCAGCCGGAGTCGAACTGTAACAGTGCAGAATGGGAGCTTGACACGTTGACGATTCGACCACATTGCCACGAGTGCCTTTGGGTCACAGGGCAGATGTGAATTTCAAGGAAGGTCAGGCCTATTGCCATATCATATTCTTTGGTGGGATTGTCGATGAAGCAAACGTATATTTGCTATAACAATCGACTACG